AGTAATTTTCCTTTCAAAATGTCCCTCTCTTCCCCCCTCTCTCTCTCATTCCTCTCTTTTCTTCCTTTCTCACTCCCAATTTCCCCATCCTTTCTCATTCCTCCACTCTCTCTCTCACTCTCTTTCTCATTTTCTGCTCTTCCTCCTTTCCTTCTCTTTCACCCTCTTTTTCTCATTCTCCGCCTATCTCATTTTTCTCTATCTCTCTCAGTTCCCCTCTCTTCCTCCTTTTCTCTCTCTCTCTCTCTCTCATTTTCACCTCTATGTCTTTCTCATTTCCTCCTTTCTTCTTCTTCTTCTCTCTCTCCTACACCTCTTTCTCAATTCCTGCTTTTTCTCCTTTCACTCTCATTCATCCTCATTTCTCTCATTTTCATCCTTTCTTTTTTACTCATTTCCCCCTCTCATTTCTCTCTCTCTAATTTCCTCTTTTCTTACCTCTTTCGCTCTCTCTCTCCTCTCAATTTTTCCTCCTCTCTTACACTTTCTCTTTCTCTCCCCCACAACATAAGCAATAGCAAAAAGAATGCGAACAGATTTTCTGCTTCTGGTTGTAACATTTAAAGAAAGTAAAAAAAAATAAATATATATATATAAATGGCTTCTAAATTTTGTTACTGTTTATCCCCTGATAAGATCGTTTTGACATATTTTCGTTTCTCTCCTTTATTTATTTTTTTCGGTAATTTGAATTGCATTTTTGTTTAATTTGATTTTTTTTTGAAGAACTGACGTAAGTAGTTTAATACTATGACCTTTTTTTTAAGTAAACGATCTGTTTGTCTTTAAATAACAGAAAGTCGGACAAAAACCTGTATAACGTATGGAATGTTTCTCATGCAATTTCTTCAGATTTGCTAACTCATCTAATATACATTATAATCTATGCCTCGCATACCCACAAAGTATAAACTAGAATTAAAATCATTGTGACGATATTAAACTTTGAAATTCAATTATTAAAATTAAAATGTATTTCATTAAATAGAAAACAATAAAAAAAATAAAGAAGCGTTGCCGGTGGCCAGTATAATTTTTGCATGATATACTGGTTGGTATCGGAAAGCTTCCGGACTAGAATTTACTAATAAAATCCAAAATGGATTCCAGTCATGTGAGAAGTCAGATAGATTTTTCAGCGACGGTCAGGTTCCAAGAATTTCTTTCCACATTTCCTGGCGTTTTGCTAGTGATTTGTGGATCTGATGGATCATCATATAGAACCGACATTTGTAGCGTTGCAGCTTAGACAAGACACCAGGTTCGTCCCCAGGGTGCAGCTTCTTCCAGTCAAACGTTTGTAGCTTAAAATAACTCTTTGGCCAGATAGTTACCCATTAAATAAAACCATGTGATGATTATACCAGAATGCAAATTTTATTCGGTTGTAACGTTCTGCTGTAGATGAGCGAGGCAGGGATGATGCGGAGGGCAGTAATGGGCGTTTCTTCCTTTTCACGTCGTGGTCTCTTGTTCCTTTCTGTCAGCTCTCTGTGGGTCTCTTTGCTTTCAATCGCTAGTAACCACTGTCTTATAGGGGGCAGTGTTTTTTGTCTTGTCATCTTTGTTTAAAAAAGTATTTTATTAAAAAACCAAGGCCTTGCTTCACTCAGGGATCCTCTTTGTCAGGGTCGTCCGACATGATTCTTCATGAAGGCAATAACTGTCGAAACAATTTCTGTGATGTCTTTCAGATGTTTTAATTTGACAAGATATCGGCTGACACTGATATCGCTAGACATTCGACTGACCTTGAAATGTGCGTTCGACGAAGGGTATTCCAGTTAATTAAACAAAAGACGGCTACGATCAAAAAACTAAAATGAACAAAGCTCTTCGCATGATGCAAGCTGTGTTTGTTAGAACTATTTTTTGGATTTCCTGGAGAGGTAGTGCATCATGGATCTTGTTGATTTGTCTTTGAGTTTCTTTCTTTATCAGACCCAAAGCTCCAACCACAGCAGGAACAGTTTTAGTTTCCGAGTGCTTCAGTTTTTCTATTTTCCTCCCCTGGTCTTTGCTTTTGATTTATTATTATTATTATATTATTATTATTATTATTATTTATTTTCTTTGATTTCTGGCGTTTACACATTTCTTTCCGGGTCCCGTCCAGGGACCTAAGGTTAGAAATGGCGTCATGACACTTTCCACTGACACACACAAAAAAAAAAAAAAAATTAAATTACATAGATAAAGCCCTTCGTAAGGTGTGGGCTGTACTTGTCAGAACAATTTTTTGTATCACCTTGAGGCATGGACTTCCAGGAATCCCTTCAATTAGTCTACTAACAATAGAATAGGTATGTTCCGGTATAACATATATGTAGGTAGGTGTACACATATATGCATGCATCACGCTCGGCAGACTAGGATAGCCAGATAATCCCTGTAGCAGACATCATAATCATCATTTAAGCGTCAATCCGCTTACCCATATCCTCATTCATAATATCGGAGTGTCTGCCACTGCACGCTGCAGCTTATAGGAGTGGTTTCCCTGATGGAAAAAAGGGGATTCCTGTCAGGACTTAATCTTTTCTTAAGTAGGATTTATCGATCTAGGTCAGTTGAAACTAATTTAATTGTTCAACAGAATGAAAAAAGTGAATCCAATAAAAATAACGTTTGGCGTAATAAGAATTTTTTTCCACATGAACACTTGCATGATGCTACATAGGACATTTTTGCACTATTGTCTGATCATAGTGACACTTTTAATACACACTGTATACATATTCTTTTGTATACTGTAGTTTCTATAATGTATGTTCCCACATTGCTATTATATCAGCAACAAGCAGAATAAAAATAAATAGTAGTGGAAGATTCTAGAACCCGTTTAGTGTGGTGTTGAGATAGTCACAAGGATCATGTGATGGCCGGTGAATGGCGTCAGGAGGGAGATTGACGAGAGCAGCTGCCATGTAGAGCCCAAAGACGTCCCTAGGCCACTGCGGTAAGTCTTACAGGGAAAAGCACATGGACTACCCAATCGTAGAGAAGCAGCCGTAAACCCAGTTTTCCTTTTGAGAAATATAACAGTCAAAGTTGCTCTTTCTTACACACCGTCTGTTGAAGCGTATGTTATAATTTCCTTGCGTGGGACACTTATATATATATATATATATATATATATATATATATATATATAATTTTGTGTAAGACGTAGCATTGTAAACCTCTCTGTGAACTAAGCATGCATGTTATTCTTTTTCCATTCCGCTATTCTGTTCTGTCTGTGAAATATCAGTGTTGCTATGTCATGGATGAGGAGGAGGTGGTGAGGAATCGGAGAGCCGAGTTCGAATCCTAGTCGAATCCATTACATTCACTTACGTGCTAATACCCTTGGGAAAGGTATGACTCTTCTTATTCCCCAAGCTATGGGTAAATAGCAGGACAGACCGGGTTCTATAGCCTTGGATGGTAACTGGTCTACTGCAGAAAGAAATGGCAACCTACTGCGGAAAAATGTGCCTCGTCAGTCATTTATCAAAAGATACATGATCATCTAAGCGTGTATCACGCATGGCACATAATTGACTCGCAATCAATTCTTCCATGATCCCACCGATGGGCATTGCAAGGCTTTTAATTACAGCGGTTGCGGAGGCAATTTCAACCGGTTTTCAACAATCGAAACGGGAAGGTCTTATCATTTTACAGATGAAATGTAACCATTTTAAGCGAACTGTTTCTTCTTATTTGTGGAACTCTCTTCCCGCTTCTTGCTTTCCAATCAAATTTGATCTATCTTCAAAGGTCTAAATGCAACGTCAATCGATAACTTCTGTCTTCTTCAGTTGATCTTTTTTTCTCTCTCTCACCTCAATATTGTTTTTTCTCATATTCTCGAACTTGTATTCTGAACCTGAATCGAACATTGTGTGTTTATAAACAGTAATTTGGACTTTTCTAATCAGACGCTTCTTTGTAGCTAAATGGTATAGCACGTCAGATCAAATGACGGTTTCCGTATAGGAATAAAGTTTCGATTCCTTTCGTAGAAAATATGCGTTCTCCGAAAGGAATCGAAACTTTATTCGGAGGACGCATATTTTCTACGAAATATCTCGAACATTCAGGCTAGTAAATGTAATTAATACTGTTTAATTAAAGAACAGAGCATTTAATTAGATAAATTGTATCAATAAAAATAACGTATAAACAGAAAATATATTGTAATAAAAAGAAAGAACAGTAAAATATATAATTCAGTGTTCGTTTTAATATTTTTATTTTTTACAAAAGAGTGCTTAATGCAAATCCACAGAGCATAAATATTATAAATTTACTGATTTAAAAATATGGTTCCATCTATAATTGAATTTAAAGTTTTTAGTTTCTGTTTTTGAAACATGGTAATTCCTGTATAGCAGTAAATTTATAATAAAATATTATATATGTGTGTGTGTGTGTCTGTATGTGTGTGTGTAAAGTTGAATTTATTTGTATTAACCTAAATATAATTACGAAATAAACTAATAAAATATGCACATTATTTAATAAACTGTTGCATTCTTCCTATTCCAGAATGTTCATTGTCCAATCACAAACGCTTTTGTTCCGACACAAAGATGCTTTATGTCTACGATGATACCATCAGAGAATGCAGGCTTCAAAATGTCTGTCCGGATACGCCGATTACGTTCTCAAGTCTTAACGATTGTGAGGTGCACTGTATTGAATCAAATATACCCGCCCAATGCCTGCTCCCTAAAGTACCCGGGCTATGTTTAAAATCATTTAATAATTTCTACTACAATTCGACTTTAAGAGCTTGCGAAGAGTTCGTCTATAATGGATGTGAAGGCAATGCAAACAACTTCGAGTCGCTAGATGAATGTAAGAAAACGTGTAACGTTTCAAGTCAGGTCGCTATACAACCGCCAAATATTTACTCTGATTCAGAAGACGGTAATAATCATTTAACTTATACCCTTACGGCTAATTCAGTTTCCTCAGAATATCGTGCGCATAAATCTACTATAACTGCTATGGTTGACGAGGAAAAACCGTCTTATTGCTCACTGCCCGCTTCAAAAGGCAACTGTGACGAAGCAATCAATCAATTCTTCCATGATCCCACCGATGGGCATTGCAAGGCTTTTATTTACAGCGGTTGCGGAGGCAATTTCAACCGGTTTTCAACAATCAAAGACTGTGAGACGACTTGCACAAATCCGTGCACGACCCCCGTCTATACCGTTTCTTGCTTTGAATCCCCATCTATCCGAAACTTCTACTACGATCGGACAGTTGACGCCTGCCTGCAGTTTGAGACCGGAATGTGCGGCGGAAGCAGCAACAATTTCCAAAGCAAAGTACAATGTGAAAAGAAGTGCATCAAAAATGTCTGCGAGTTAAAGCCTCTACCAGTGCTTTGTGAAGATGAGATAAAAAGGATTTACTATGATCCAAAGACTCAAACCTGTAGACATTTCTACGATGTCTGCCTGGCAGACGGTAATAGTTTCGCGACTGTACAAGACTGCGAAAAGAAATGCGTGATAAAAACTCAAACTTGCCACCTCGCCAAGGATCAGGGTCATCCGTGTCGCTATTTCTATTACGACGTCAGAAGCAAACAATGTCAACGTTACAGTGCAGGAAAATGTGCTGGGACAATGAACAGCTTCTTAACATACAGACAATGCACATGGATGTGCGAGGTGAATGCCTGCATGCAAGAAACAGCGCTAAGCAACTGTGACTCATCAGTCTCGCGTCATTTCTATAACCTGACAACGAGAGAATGCGAGAGAATGCCCCATGGCAAATGTAGTAGCAGTATCAATGATTTTGAGAGTGAAGATTATTGCCAAGCGGAATGTTTCTTCAAGGACATTTGTAAAATCCAGGTGAACCAGGGCACGTGTAATGGTTCAGAGTCTAGGTGGTACTTTAAAAGTGAGACTGGCCGTTGTGAAAAGTTTTCTTACAGTGGCTGCGGCGGGAATGCAAACAACTTCCTGTCGGAGGCCATTTGTGAAAAAGCGTGTTTTCGAAATCGCTGCCAGTTGCCGAAAGGTCCAGTACCGTGTAGAACACCTCAGCATAATTACTATTATGATTTGGAATCAGGGATATGTTTTTTTAGCAACATTACTTGCTTAAGCAGCGGGTTCTCGACACTTGAGCAGTGCGAACAGACGTGCATAGTCGATAACCCGTGCCGTGCACCCGTCCAAGAGACATCTTGCGAAATGACGTTCACACGTTATTTCTATGATAGTCTCAAGCGAGAATGTACTAGTTTTGAGTATGCTGGCTGCGGTGGAAACGCAAATAACTACGAGTCATTCGAAGAATGTAACGCGGCTTGTCAAGACAAAGAGGAAAGCCTCACTTTACCGAAATCCGTAAATATTAATAAACCAATCGGAATACTTTCCAACGCCAGCGGACGAGGCTCGTCTATTCTGGTTGATGGCTATAAAATATTACCGGAATCTCATGCAGATAATGATGTCGGAAAAATTAGCTTTGGTGGTAGTATACATACAGGCACACCAGAAAGCGGACCCCGCCAAAAACCACGGATAATTGACAATGAATCAACACTGTCCGGAAAGGGAAAATTTAATAAGAATTCGTCGCTTGAGAATGATGAGCCTACAACAGAGGTTCATGGAGATGCTGACCGGATCGAACCGGAAATAAGTGGTGACCGTTGCACATTACCCCTATGGATCGGATCATGCAACAAATTTTTCAAACGGTTCTACTTTGATCCGATCACCCATACATGTCAGCAGTTTACTTACAGTGGTTGTGAGGGCAACGCGAATAACTTCTTAACAATGAAAGGGTGTATGAAAGCATGTGTGGACATATGCTACGCTCCAGTCGAGATGGGGCCATGTAAAGTAAAAGTAAACAGCTATCGTTATAATACATCATCTGGAATGTGTGAGCACATCCCAGTCAGTAAATGTAGCAACAGCTTGAATAATTTTCAAGAGTTGGATACTTGTGAGAAAATCTGCGTCAGAGATGTTTGCTTGCAGAGAAAGAAGACTGGACCTTGCAGAAGTCATATAGAGAGATACTATTACGACCCGAAAACCGATCACTGCCTTCCGTTTATATATGGAGGTTGTCTCCAAAATGGTAATAATTTCCTATCTCGAGAAGAGTGTCAAAGACAGTGTTTCCATCTGAATCATTGCCTCTTGCCGCCTGACGCCAACATCTGCTCAACGTCATTAGAGGCCACTCGCTTCCAGTTCAGCGCTATTTCCGGAGAATGCGAAGCAACGGACAAAATACCTTGCGATTCGCGGGCAAACAACTTTAAATCCTTGCAAGAATGCAAGTCTCGTTGTAAGCTTTCGAATCCCTGTGTTCCTCCCTCCAAAACCGAAACGTCCTGTAATGAAGCTTCTAAGTTTGCTAGGTTTTTCTACAACAGAAACGAAGGGGTTTGCGAAAAGCATTTCGTATGTACGGCAAGTGGATTTGAAACTTTTTCCTCGTGTAAAGCAAAATGTCTTGTGAACGTCTGCACCCTTCCCGGTGAACACGGGCCGTGCGATCTGGACCGCGTGCGTTACTATTATAGCCAAGAAAATAAAAAATGCCGTCCGTTTCTGTACGGCGGCTGCTACGGCAATAACAACAATTTCGAGACTATTGATGAATGTGCTTCGAGGTGCGACCCGGACCGCTGTAGTCGCCCTAAGAAAGTAGGGTTTTGCGACAAGCACTTTAAGCGCTATTTTTACAATTCAAAAATTAGCTCTTGTCTTCCATTTGACTACAGCGGCTGCGGTGGTAATTCTAACAATTTCCCAACTTTAAAGTCCTGTCAGAACGCCTGCGGAATACAGAAATGCAGTCCGTCTCCTGATAAGGAGAAGGCCTACACTGTCTGTAAATCAAAGCCAGAGATAAAAGACTGCGCGTATACAACTCAGAAACACCGTTTTTATTATAACTCCTCAGTTGGTCTTTGTATGAACTTCCAGACGGGCAAATGCGGCAGCGACATTGGAAATAGTTTTAGCAGCCTTGGCGAATGCGAAAAAGCTTGCAATAGAGATGTCTGCCAATTACCTCCGCTCTCTTCGCACTGCGATGTCACAAATAACGGACGCTTCTTTTATGACGAATCGGCAGACGCTTGCACGTCCTTTGACGAAGGAATTTGTGGTGCAAACAAGAATAGTTTTACCGACGTTCAGCAGTGCGAAAACAGGTGCGTCAAAGACATTTGCCACTTTACCAAAGACGCCGGACCGTGCATGGCGATCATAGAACGCGTGTTTTACAATCGCTTATCAGGCGAATGCGAACAGTTTCATTATGGCGGCTGTAGCGGCAACAAAAATAACTTCGACAGCAAGCAGCATTGTGAGAAGCAATGCATGAAGGATCCGTGCAAAATGCCTTATGATTCAGGCACAGGTGATGCGTCTATGCCGAAATACTACTATGACAGTAAGAATGGTCAGTGTCGTAGCTTCCTTTATAGCGGTTGTGGTGGCAACCCAAACCGCTTCGACACCATCGGGGCCTGTTTGAAAAAATGTCAGCCTAACAGTTGTAATCTACCGCCTGATGTCGGTCCATGCCGGGGGAGTTTTCACCGTTTTTATTATGATTCGGAAGTTGGAAAATGTAACCATTTCTTTTATGGCGGTTGCAGAGGCAATGGGAATAATTTTGAAACCATTAAACAATGTGAAGAGACTTGCCAAAATGACCCCTGTGTACAACCCGTCAAAGTCGGCCCTTGTGAAGCAATAATTAAAAGGTTTTATTTCAACTCGATGACTGGCGAATGTGAGCGTTTCTACTACGGTGGTTGCGATGGCAATGAAAACAATTTCAGGACGGTTGAAGAGTGCCAAAAACGATGTGCTTGTAGTCTGCCACCAAAAACTGCAACATGTCATCATAAGTTAACTCATTTTTATTTTGACATGGCGACGGGACGCTGCCATAATTTCGTTCACAATGGATGCAGTGGCAACGCTAACGGATTCTTATCTATAAAAGAGTGTGCCCAAGTTTGTATTCAGAACCGTTGTGAAAAACAAATGGACCCTGGTAGCTGTGATAAGAATCTTGCTCGATTTTTCTACGACTCCAAGAAGAGACAGTGTGTTTCTTTCTTATATGGCGGGTGCAGGGGAAATACTAACAACTTTCAAAGTGAGCAGCTATGCAAAGATGCCTGCCTCAGCGAAGATCCATGTTTGCAGCCGAAAATGCCTGGTTCGTGTAATGAAACGCACAGACGTTTTTATTACGATTCAATCGAGGGGAAATGCCTACGTTTTTTATACGGTGGCTGTCTTGGGAACAGAAATAACTTTCATACTCTCTCAGAATGCCAACGGAAGTGTAAAAGAAACGCAAATAAATGCCTACTTCACAAAGAGGAAGGACTGTGTTCTTCATCAGAGGAGCGTTTCTATTACAATCCAATTCTAAAATCGTGCGAACGATTTAACTACACTGGCTGTGCTGGTAACGCAAACAATTTTTTAAGCAAAAGCAAATGCGAACAGGAATGTAAATCCGATCTTTGCAAGCAATCAACGATTGTCGGTAGCTGTTCCAGAAACGAGGAAGACGTTCGAGGTTTGACAAATCTCTAGCTATATTGACACAGGTAGCCACGAGAACAACTTTCAGCGGCTAGGAGACTGCGAACGACAGTGTGTGAAACCCATCTACTGACTAGAAAATGGCTATAAGGCGCTCTTGTAAACAGAGGCTATCACGCTTGTACGATAATCGGAAACACAAATCATTGTTACTCATTCGTCCAGACGGAATATTATATTAACGCAAACACAATTTTTGACAATGAAATATTGCGTGGAGTTTTAATAACATTTTATTTACAACCTTTATCCATTAATGGCTATAATCAACCCCCGAAGAAATCTTGAATATTTGTCAAGCTTTCAATCTTATTGGCTGTCAGGCGAATGGGAATAATTTTATAAGTGTGGAAGAGTGTTGAACAATCGTGCTAGTATATATATATATTTGGGCAGCATTCTCTCTTTTATACAAGTTTCGTTAAAAACGATTGACAAGGTAATGTGATTAAGTTTCTTTTTATTTATTTGTTCTTGTATTCGTATAATTTCTATTTTTTCTGGACATAAAGGATATAGAAATTGTCCGAATGTATGTCCGAGAGCTTCCAGTTATTCTTTTAGCCATTATTAGTTTAAAGTAAAAATAAAATTATTCTTGATAATGGCTGAAAGAGTAGCCAAAAGCGCTCTTACATACAGAACATTCGGACAATTTCTAGATACTTTATGTCCAAAAATAAATAAAAAAAATTATAAAATACAAGTAAAATTAAATAAAAAAAAAAAACTTAACCGCAGTACCTTGACAGTCATTTTTAACGAAATTTATATATATATATAATATATATATATGCTCGTGTGAAATTAATCCTGGTAGATTAATGGAAAATAAATGTTTTTCGATAATTAAAAGTACATTGCGTTGAGTTTTCAAATATATAGCGGGTGTAACAGCAAAATTGTCCAAATAATGTAACAACGAAATTGTGCAATTGTTATATTAATCTCTGATCCGTTGTATCTTAGAATTGATTAAAGATATATTACTGGAATTCTCCGAAGTTTTTATAACCCTATATTGGGCTCTCCTGCGAGCAATAAGAATGTATCGTGTAGAAGTATCGTGATGAAATCGATCATAAATTAAAATGACAAGTTCATCATTAATTAATCATAACTAAGGATCGGTAGCTCATGAAGGAATGAAATAAATTCAAATATATATATATATATATATATATATATATATATATATATATATATTTTGTAGGTACAAAATTTAATGATCGAAATAAAAGTATAAAACTTAATATTACGAGACATATTAAACACGGGCGAAGCAACCGGTTTCGCCCCCGCTCTTCAGGCTTCAACGGGAGATTTAATTTAAAATTAACACAGAAAAATGTACAATAAAAGGATGTTGTGGGAGGAAAAAATAAATAAATAAAATAGCAAAAGGAACTAGAGACAAATGACAGCGGGACCCAACAAACACTCACGTTGTTTACACAAAGAAGGCTTAAGAGACCCGATGTAAAGTGCCTCCAGAACCTTTAGATGAAATAAAGAATGAGACCGGGATAACGTTATATATATATATATATATATATATATATATATATATATATATATATATATATATATATATATAATGTATTATTCCAGGGTCATTTCCGAACTTATTCACGATGATCTTCGCCTTCTCTAACCGTCTATCCTGGAGTAACAATGTGCTTTATAGGTTTCACGTACGATTTCATTTTTAAGTTTTTTTTTTTTCCACTGATCTTTCGACTGTTATAGGTGAAACTCCTCTCTCACGTGCTAAATGTCTTATGGATTGGGTTGGATCTTTTTTAAATGATCACTTTAAGTTGAAATGAAAGCCTCTTGCTGCTGTGACCTCCTGACCCCGTTTTCCTCTCTACTGTACCCTCTTTTTTAAACTTATTCACCGTTTTCGTGATGGTTCTTGAATGGACTTTCAAGATTTAAGCCAGAGTATGAATGTTGGTACCATTACTGAAGGCCCGAAGGATATTTTTCTTCTCACCATTGTTCATTTTGGGTTTGACACAAAACGATTTTAACCTGTTCTCTTCGTAACTGAATAACTCAAAAGGTTTTTCAGTGATTCTTACGACAGATGGTGTCAAGATGGCTAAACGTCTTATCTGAAAACCTGGAAAAAAGAAAGTCAGTTTAGTGGTTTTTAGATGTTGAACATTTTGTGGGGTGGACAATTATCCTATGCTGTTACACGATTTGGACAATTTTGCTGTTAGACCCGTTACATGTTACAGTGCTTATACAAATTTCAGAGAATTAATTTTCTCTGTGCAATTTACATTTCTTGAATATTTTCTTCAACTACATTTTTTGTGGATAGATGTGTGGGTTGTGTCACAGTTAACAGTGCAGAAACTGAACTAAGTGAGCAGTTTTCAAATTACATTCTAGTCTGCGGCGTTCACTTTCGCACTAATGCTCTTCTCCCCACCTATGGGTAAAATAAGTTCTCTAACTTTCGGTGACATCAAGTAAGAAGAAAATGTTTTTCTGAATTCAAAATCATGAAAGAGGCGACGAGAATAGCAGTAAAAAGCCGAGTCGTCGTTGAGCTTATTTTACCAGTCGTACCATTAATCTACGTCCCCCGAAAGATCCAACTAAGACGAAATAAAGTAAGAAAGAATAACACAATAAAAGAAGCACGAGATAATTGATAATCTTAGTTATCAACAGCCGTGGAGTTACAACCGAATCAGCCAGCTTAGAGGAAAAACATAGACAGGCAACAAAGATTGAAAAGGATAAGGGAGAGAATGAGAAGATACAGGGCATATATGAGAGAAGAACAGAGGCATGGAGTTGTATATCAATTGTCAGCAAAAGACAATTAGGATAGATTAGCATTTGAAATACTTGAAACCTTATGTATCTGTCTATATTTCTGAGATGTACATTATGTACACTATTTACATTATTCGGACTATTGTCCTCATCTTTATTGCTATATTTATCACAACGTTTCGGCCGTTGTACGCTCCGGCCTTCTTCAGGTGGTTGGAATGTCGAACTGAACCCTTTATATCGCTCGCTGGGGTAGACTGTTCTAGTTCCACGTGCCATGTTTAATGGATATCAGTTACCAGTTATCACCTGTTAATTCACCTCTCCAAGTTCTCCACTGCCTTAACCAGGTATTGAACTCACAACTCCTTGGGTCCTGTTATGTGCCTTTATCCACTGTGCCATGTTTCCTTAAGGACACATGGCACAGTAGATAAAGACGTTGGTTAGATCCAGAGACAGTGATATTGAAGTTTTTTTTTTTATTCCGGATATTTTTTGTCCCTAGTTGAGTTCTGAAGAGCGAGGAACGATAACCAGTTAGCTTTTTTCTTCTTTTTTTTATAACTTTTCAATTCATTCTACGGTAAATATTTTCCCCATTCTTTTTCCCCTTTATTTTTATATATTTGTGAATATCATATGTTAACATATACTTTTAAAATGTCCGTTTTTGAAGCTATAATCTTCGATATCAACACTAATGGAACTTCTACGAGTAGAGCGTGTGTATATAGATATTTAAATCTTTATTTACCTATTTCAAAATTTTTGAATGCTGTCTGCAGTCGGGGTCGGCCACCTACGCCACGCGTGCCACACATTGGCACGTCAAGCAGTTTCCAATGGCACGCAGTCGCAAATGACATCACGAAGTCCGAACCAATAACTACTACAACGCAAAGAAGATATTTAGCTGTTTCAAAACTGATCACTCATTGGACTTCCATTAATAATAAAAACTTTAAAAAAAAACTTTTAAAAACAGTTTATTTCTATTAATGTGGTTTACATATTATTTTATATATTACTATATAAAACATATTGTAGAACAGGTATATTGACCTTGACTTGTATAAAAATATGTATGCTGTTGGCAAACTAAATAATTTTAAAATCCTAAGTCAGCACATAGCAAAAGGTTGCTGACCCCTGGTTTAGACAACTAAGCTCATTCTTTATCTCTTTACCTTTCAGCAAATCTGTTTTGTCTTGAGATGTACAATCAATAAAGAGAGAAATGTGTCCCTTTTCTTCAGGAATTAGTGAGGAACAGAAAAGCAATGGTGTTTGCTAAGGTGGGAAAGTTAAGGCTTCTTTGGCCAGAAGGAAATTAAATGAAGTGCCTCCCTGTGGCTCAGGGATAATAATTTTTTCTTAGTCTGACACAAGGCCACAATAGTGGATTAACTCTCTAAGCTAACAAATAATGCTGTCTTATGCGGCTGCTGCTGCTACTTTCGCATTAAAGAACAAACGAAAGCAAATTTGATCATTGAAAACTTATTAGTTTTAAGGTTAGCGTTAGGCGATTTTGGTATCATAATTATGCAATTAAAAACAATATATAGTGCTGTTCGATAAAAGTGACTCACCTGATTTTTTTTACTTAAAATATTTTTCGTCTATTGTTTTGGGGGTCAAACTAATTTTTAATCTTACTGATATAAAGACCCCTTCCCGACCACCTAGTAAAAAAGTTTACTCACCCTAAGGTATTCGATTGATAATTATAATTTTGGATATAAATGAGATTAGGGAAAAACTCTGTGCAAAAAAAGTGATTCACTTATTTCCTGTAACTAGTAATCAATAGAAACATAACCAAACAGCTTTAAATAAAGAATAATAGAGGTATAATTTATTTATAATAGGTAATATAGTTCGAAATATTTATTAATCTATGGCTCATCCTTTATTTTGAATAACCTTTTCAACCCTTTTTGGCATTGACTTGATTAGGTTCTGGCAAATCTCATCTCCAAGCATTGAACTCCATTCAGATATGAAATTCACAATCAAATCCTCTTTGTTGCTCAACTGCTTTCTCCAGAGCCTGTACTTTATAATGCTCCATAAGTTTTCTATGGGGTTGAGGTCAGGAGATTGGGGTGGCCATGTCATAACACTCACTTGCTTCTCATGAAAGTATTCCTTCATCAAATTTGATTTGTGACAGGGAGCATTATCCT